CAACGTACCGTTCAGTTATTGCACAGCCTCTCCCCCAAACCCCTTCGGGCCAAATGGAAAGGTCCAAAAAAATCTCCTGTTTGGACTAATCAGCTCCAGGCACGAACACCTTAGTTATTAGTTAGCAATGAAAGGCAGAATGTAAGCCCTAGAGCAAGAGTTCCTGTGTCTGAGAATGCCCTTCAGGGAGAGGCTGTGTGTCAGCTCCTAAAACTTTATGATAAATTGTGCGTGTACGTGCCTTTTTTTTTTTTTTTTTTTTTTTTTGCAAAGTTTGTCTAAAATCTTCATCAGCTTCCCAAAGGATTCCAAGGGAAATCCCAAAGGAAACACCATCAATAAAGGTCTCCCAGCTAGAGAGCTCCCACGCACCTGTAACTGACAGTGGGAGACTAAAAGTCAAGAGGGAAGTCAGAAGGCTTTCCTGCTAGGGCTACCCTACTACCAACCCGATTTCCAACCTGCAGCAAATCCCTTAACCTGTTAACCGAGCGGGACCTATAAATACGTCAAACGTAAACAATATCGGGAACAGGTAGGACGTATGAATATGTCCTTGAAATATATGTTGCGCCCCGAGAGGGACGGTATATATTTTTTGTAATCTTTTTTTTTAAAAATATTTTATTGATTTTTTACAGAGAGGAAGGAAAGGAAAGGGATAGAGAGAAATATCGATGAGATGAGAGAGAAACATCGATCAGCTGCCTCTTGCACACCCCCCATTGGGGATGTGCCAGCAACCAAGGTACATGCCCTTGACCGGAATCGAACCCGGGACCTTTAGGTCCGAAGGCCGACGCTCTATCCACTAAGCCAAACCAGTTTCGGCTATTTTTTGTAATCTTTATCATTGTTTGTAAAATTTATAATTTTTTAATTCGACGTGTCCATTTTTTTTGTCAGTATTCTTTTCTATTTTTTTTTGTAATTTTGTGTTTTCCTTTGTGCTTTATATATTTAATAAATGAAAATATTATATATTTCATTTATTTTCATTAAGTATAAATTAAAAAAAAATAATATGAAATTACATCCTCCAGGCGTGACATACTAATACGATATGTCCTAGTGAAAGAGTACACACCCGTTACAGGTTGCGTCATTAAAAAGGGAACTCCCTGGTTAACAGGTTAAGGACCTCCTATTCCTCCATTTCTAAGTCTGGAAGATGAGGATGTTAGAGCTGAATGGTCCCTTAGCTTCAAGACCCTTAAAAATGCCAGGACCAGAAGGCACGGCTTCAAGGAACACAGGAAAAGGTGTCAAAAAGGCCTGCATGGAATCCTTCTCACAACAGCCGCTTAAAATATTCACCGCTGCCTTCCTAGGAGGGTCAAAGACAGAAGCCACCTCACATTTTCTTCTTTTTCTTCTATTTCAGAAAGCCGAATTTGAAGTGTCACAATAATACCCTTTGAAGGGATTTGAACTATGAAATTCATGCAAAACGACAGTGAATCTGTAAGGATGCATAAGAAGCTCAAAGAATGTAAAGTAGGAGGAATTTCTCTCAAGCCTCATTATCAACCATGTAATCACTGCAGCCACCTATTTTAGCTGGTGTCACCTACAGCTGTTAATATGTGTAACTGGTGACCATTGCTTATGGGTGTCATAAAAAAAAATGGATGTTTTAATACAATCCTGGAATTCTGGATCAAAAAGACTAATCTCGTACAAGAGAAGAGTGTCTTTCTTCATTCCATGTCACTCTCTATACTTTTCATAATAAACGTCTGATTTTCACAAAAGTACAGCTAAGATGAAAGTCCTCAACCGTTTAACACTAAGTCTTTATCATTACGTAAGGCAAACATTCACTAAAAAGATAACTCTTGTTTTAGTTGGTACACTTGTATATATTCTAGTATCCTAACTCAACCATAAACTTTCAATCTAATTATCAGACCCCATAAGTCCAAAGCAAATTTAGATGTGGTTGCTTGTGGCAGCAAATTTAATTGAAGCCTTTTCACAGGCACTTGCTAATAAAAAAGAGGAGATGGAAATTGATCCTGTTTTTACACACGCCACGGCCAAATGAATGCTCCGTCTGAAACCCATTCCCCAAAGGGATAAACTAATGTTCCAGGCAAAGCATCAAAAGTCACGGGATGAGTCAGTATGAGAAGCCAAACGCAGGTGACTTCTACAGACCTAACTTCACCATCACCTCCTTCCTTGAAGCCCGGGAGAAATCAGTATTGGATCCGAGGGGCTCTGCATCTCACATAGGCAGGGCTAACAGAAAACATCGGTGTAAGCAGCACAGCGGTCCCTGTTACTCCAGAGCTCAATGGCATTGTTTCCCAGGAGTGTTGTTCTCACAACATTTCAGGGCTCCTCCTTCAGCCTCAGGTGTCTCAGGAATACCGGATCAAACATACTACTCTCTTACAAGAGAAAAGTGTTTCTCCTCATTCCATGTCACTCTCTCTACTTTTCATAAATGAACGTCTCATGTTCACAAAAGTGCAGGTAAGATGCGAGTCCTCGGTCATTTCACACTAACTCTTTATCATTACGGAAGGCTAACTTTCACTAAAGAAAATAACTTTTTATTTTAACTGGCAATCATGTGTGCAAGCACCATTCATTTCTCAAAGATAAAGGGTTCTGATAACCCGAGGAGGGGAAGGAGTTAAAGCTCCATGGAGACCAGCGGGCTAATGCACATGAACATTCTGCGGCAGCACCCTGTCCTAGCAACAAGGTTAGGCCTGGAAAGTGTGCAGAGAGCAGGAACAAAGTCCAGAAGTGACTCTTGCTCAAAGAAATCCCTCCTCGGGAGAAAGAACAGGCTTGCAATCCTAACCAACTGTCACTTTTCCGATGAGACTGGAAACTGAGGTCCTGACCCCTTGTGGTCTTTAATCATAAACCAACACAAGGGTGTGGGTGTCAGATTTCCTGGCCCAATCACAAAGAGGTCAAACATTAAATTCAATTAGCAGAAATTACAGTTTCTAGGAAACTAACCCCTCCTTCCTTTATTACCAGTCTCTAGAAGAAGCTTCATCAGAGACTGTAGAGATTTAATATTTTATTTTGGGGAGTAAGGGGGTAAAGAAGGGAGGGTTGTCTTATTGGATTGACAGTGTTTCCCGAATAAATGTATAACTCAAATTTCCTATCGTGGAGATCTCAGCGACAGCTGGAGGAAGGACGACCCCCATAATCCTTCTACAACATTCTGGGAGACTTGCTGTAGAAGACACTGAAAAGTTAAGATTTCATCTTGACTAGTAAGTACTCCACCGTCAGCCAGACAAAGAAATTCCTGAAAGGCTATCAGTGTTTTGTTTGTTTTTTCCCCCCCTTACAAGCACTCACAGAAGTAGGTCAATGTTAATGTCTAATAAACAAAGCAGTTCATTACTAACCACGGTCTGTTTCTTTTGTGATGAGATTTTAATCCATTTCAGCTGCATCCAACTATCACACACAACTGTCCCTCAAGAAGAGTAAAATGTATATTCATAACTGACGCCAGCCTCAGGCTTTTCTTACGTTTAAAAAGGCAAGGGTGCCGGGGGCTGGGGAGTCTGAGTGTTGGATACTTTCTCCTTCACTGTCTAGGATCCAGGACAGGAGGACTTTAATTTCCCTTCCAGTCCCTCCTCCAGAGGCCCTGTGTCTGAGGAAATCCACAGACAACAATCAAACCTTTCATCCCGGGGCCTCGTTCCCACCAGACCCCTTCCTGTTCCAATCAGGTTTACAAAGCGTTTCCCCTATTCTACATTTCATGAATCAACTGCAAAAATCTGCCAACCTCTGCCAGTTCCTCTTGTGCTCAGCTGAGAGGTTCCCCTTCCTTCCGTGGGTAGCACAAGGCTGCTCTGGTTTTTAACTGGCGTAACGTGGAAATGCACTGTAGGAGCTTGCTAACTCTTTCACGGCCAGATACCAGTGGGTCTGGGGCGCTAACACCATCTATCTACTAAGAAACTGTCCCGCCAAGCTCAGGTTAAAAGCAGATTTGTTGCCAGACTAGTGTTGACCCCGTTTCCAATGTGTCCGATTCTGTCACCCAGAAGGAAAAGGAAGAGTGAGCAGGGCTACAAAGTAAGCAACTCAGTTACTTAGCAACTGGACAAAACTTGCCACACTACAGAGGCGGCACAAACCCATTCAAAGAGTAACAGTCTCCATTTGCATGCAAATGGATAAAGACAAAACTGGAGAGGGAAATATAAATTAGCAACAGGGAGTGTACAGCAGTGGGGCTGAGACCCAGATTTTAAAGAACAGCTTCTCCTAGGAAGAAACTGTATCTGTACATATAAAGAGATATGAATAAATGAATGAATGAAAGGAAAGGAAGGAAGGAAGACAGATCACAGGCCCTAACCAACGTACACTCTCCCTTCAAAAAAGTCAATGCCATGGAGGGTAGGGAAGAGGCGGCACAGAAATTTTAGTAGCTAAAAATCAAAACACCTCCCCTGCTAACACATATTTAAAGTTCATGGAGAGATGATCATGGGAGGCTGGGAAAATCCAGGGAGAGCAGTTCTCCCTGCTTGTGAGAAAAGCAAATAAAGCATCAATCTTGGGGAAAGATCTTGGGGTGGGGTGGATTCCGTGCCTCTCCGGGTCTTGACCCTCACAAATGACACCCCCTTGCCCCTAGCACCCACTGGGGAAGCACAGTTTCCCAGCTCAGATCGAACCCATACCCTTCAGAGGAGACACATGGGCCTGAGGATTTTCTGAGCAGGAGGGAGAGACCCTGTCACCTCCTTGGCCCAGGGGAGTGAGTGCTCCAGGCTTTTCTGTTTGCTCCAGGAGCTCACAGTCTGGGTCCCCAGCTCCTAGCCACACACCGGAGCCAGGCTGTCAGTGCCAGGGTGCCAGGCTCAGTGCCAGGAAGGAAGAGGACAGAGGGGGCTCCTCAGCCCCACCCCCAACCCCCAGCCCCAAACCTCACACCTGGACCATGTGGGCAGGGCCCAGGGCTGACTCACAAGAGGCCCAACCACCCGGCCACTTACTTTTCATACTCGGTGTTGTCTCGGTCACAGCGAGAATCCTTGTGCTTTTGCCAGTCTTTGCCATGCTTGCAGGTGGTGAGGAGCAGGACATCCTCCCCGTTATGCACGTGATATAAGGCATTCCTGGTGTCTGACCCTATCCCTGTCAGGTACCTCTTCCCCTTGAATACCAGCATGTACTTCCTGAGAGGAGGGATAGTGTTAAACCTCAAAAACCCCCTCTCCCCTCCTGTCCTGGGGTGATCCTTAGAAAAGAGGGGAATAGAAACATCAAAGTTGGGTCGGAAGTTTTCAGTACTGATGCTGGCCTTGGCCAGCATCGCCTGGCCGATGTCAAACCCCACGTCCTCGGTGTAGTCGGGCCAGGTGCCGGAGTATAAATTAAAAATTAAATGATTCCTACCATTGTTCCACAAGTGGAGGCTCTGCACTTTGGATCTTAAGTTATGCACGTACTGGGGCGACAACTGGTCTCTGTCTAGCGTGTCCAGGCTCAGGACAAAGAGGCACGCCTGGCTGGGGTCCGAGGTGTAGAACCTGGAGCCCTCGATGGCCGCTAGAATGTTTTGGTAACTTTCGGCAATTTTCTCCCCTTTTTGCTGCGGGTACACGTACACTTTGAAGCCGTTTTTCTTGCAAAGGGCGAAGTCGAAGCAGGACTCCATGCGGCACTTTTTGCCTTTGTAGATGCTGGAGTTGGCGTCCCGCTTCTGCCGGGGGGACACGGGCGCGACGGAGTCCTCGTTTTCCAATTGATCCCCAGGAACGAAGGGGCGCAGGGCGTCCGGGAAGCGCGGCCAGAAACGATCCGGACCCGGGTGGTGGTGCAAGCCATTCCGACCGCCGCTGCTGTGCTCTTCCCTCCGGCTCCTCCTCGACGCCCTAAGCTGCAAGCCTCCGAAGTAAAACAAAAGGGCGAGACAAGAGCCAGCGGAGAGCAGGATGAAATAGCGTTTTTTGGCCTGCATGTGTCCTGCCTGGGTCGAGAGGATTGTAAATAAACACGAGGATCGCCCAAGTTTCCCAGTCCACACTTTCAGCTCCAGTCCGCCATCTTCCCGCCTGCAAAGACTTCAAACTCTCCGCTCCCACCTTCTCTGGATGCCTTTCCCCAAGCCGTGGACTGATCCAGCGCATGTGGGCGATTTCTCTAACTTTCTCCCCTCCGGTCTTTCATCGTCGGGTTGCACAATGGACGGGAGAGGGAGAGCGGAGCGGGGCTGAGGATTCCGCGCCAGGGGGTGGGCGAGCCGCGGACTGTGATCTTCTGGCATGCAACAAGACGGGGAGGAAAAAGAAAAAGAGGGGAGAGAGGAAGAAAGAAAAAAAAAAAAAAAAAAGGCTCCCGGTGCCCGATCAATGGCAAGACGGAGTAGAGATTTCCTTGTCTTCCTTGTCTCTCGGGTTCCTCTCGGCGGCGGCGGCGTGGAGAACCAGCCCTGGGAAAGCCAACTTCAACTCTCCCCCCGCAGCGCTCCCGTTGCAAGAGGAGCAAGCACTCCGGTTCCAACAAGTCAGCCGGAGCCCGGCTTCACAGCCGGCTTAGTGCATCCTGCAGCCGCGGCGCCGTAACCTCACAAATCCCTGCATCGCTCTCGATTCCCTTTCTGCAGCGGCTCCGACACTCGGTGGCGGCGGCGTGGACTCCTGCGCTCGCGGGGCCGGCCCCCCGGACGCGCGCGGCCCAGCTGCAGGCGGCGGCGGCGGCGCCGGCGCTGGGTGGCGGCGGCGGCGGCGGCGGCGGCGGCGGCGCGTGCTCCCCGCGGGCAGTGCCGGCCCCGAGCGGCGCTTCGCCAGGCCCCCTGCGCGCGCGATCGCTGCCGAACCGCCGGCGTTCGGTCGCCGAGTGTTACCCGGTTCTGAATGTTACACTTACACATTCCATTCCCGACACGACAGCGCTGACCTCATCCATCCACGCAGCCCGCGCTGCCATTGGCCGGGCGTCACGTCCGGGCGGGGCGGTGCTTCCGCTGCGCCCATTCATAACCCCCGGCCGGCGGCGCTGGGCCGGCTCGGCGCGGGGAGCGCGGGGGCCGTAAAGGGAGGCTCAGAGCGTTCCAGGGCTTCGGGGGGGACCTCAGGTGCCTCCTCTGCAGCCGGCGGGAGGCCCCGTGCAAGCCCCTCCTCCGGTCGCCCTGGTCTGGGCCCGGGTGGCGCCTCCGCCCTCCGGGGACCACAGCGCCGCCCAGAGGAGAAGGTGGCCCGGGAGCCGGGGCCGCGGGCTGGCGTTCCCCGGGCCGCGCTGCCTCGGCCTCCCCGGCGCCCTCAGCTCTCCCTGCGAGGGAGCGCCTCCCCGAGCCCGCAGCCGGGAGCTTGCGGGTTCCTGGAGAGGATGCTTGAAAAATGGAGCACTGGGGCGAGCCCGAGGGGTGGGGGAGGAAAGAAAGGTTTTCATAGAAAGAGACCAGCGTCCGGAACGTCTCTCCCCGACCCCCTTCCCCCTTTCCTCCGAGGCCCTATATTTTTATTTCCTACCAAGCATTTGAACAGATCCCTTTTTTCCGAAATCGCGACCCTTTTTTTTTTTTTTTTTTTTTCCTTCCCCCAAGGAGAGACTCCAGGAATAAAGAGGAAATATTACAATCAAGGGGACTGGTCCCATTATTCTGTCTCTGTGTGCTGAGAGAAGACACCTATTCTCAATCCTCTTATCTACTTGCGCATCCTTTCCTCACAATCTGAAGCCCCTTGTATTCTGTAGAAAGTCTAATTCTGTACAAAGCTTCCAAGAGATCCAATCACAGCGAGGTGGGGTGAGGGGAGACTTTCTAATGGCTAAAGAGAAACTGGTTAAGTTTATCCTTGTTAGTCTCTACTGGTGACGGTTTTTCAGATACCCCTTAGTGATGGATGACTAGTAGAACTGTCCCACCTGGAGAAGGGAAACGTGAAGCAGGAAACGACCTTATTTGCAATGAATGCAAGATGGTTGGTCCTCCCCTCAAATGCCCCTCCATACCCCAGCCCCAAGCTCTTGAGGACCACATTCATTTCTGGTCAAAGTCATCCTCCCTGGCCTGGCCCTGAGTTCTTTCCTGAGAAGCCTCCCAGCACTTTCCCTTGCTGAAGTGGAGGGGCCAGGCCAAGCTGGACAAACAGTTGCCTAGGGCAGCAAGCTGTTTAGGGATTGTTTATTATGGGAGTGACTGAGCTGAGGACACACACACTTCCCAGTTCCCCTCGGGCTGCAAAAAACCCCAGTGGGTGTGGACAAAAACCATGGTTCAAACAAGCCTGAGTGAAATGATCAAGTGGAAAGTTTTAAACATTTGTTGTTTCAGATTTGTTTTAATAAAGTGGGGAAGGGGCACGGGCGGGGCATTCCTGTGCATTCCTGAAGCCTCTCCTTACTGCGGACATGCCAAAGATGAGGCAGCTTTTCCAGATCTGACTTGCATCCCCACACAACGTGGAGACGCCTGGGACAGAACTGAGAATTCAGTCATCTTCTAAATATGATGACAACAATGCAGATAAATGCAAACCACATGTAACCCAGGGCTCTCCCTCTACCCCCACCCCCAGCCCCTGGTGGCTGACAGCAGCCATCCAAGGCTTCCTTCTGTTGAGATTAGGGCTTGGATGATCTGGGCCCTGTGGAAGTTGGGGCTGTGGGGATTGCAGCCCCTTTGAATCCAGCCAGTTGTCCTGTGTGACCTTAGGGGGAGCCGGCAACTGTCCTTGCTCTTTTGCTTCTCTTCCTGCTTTGGCACATGTTTCTCGCTAACCATTGCTGACTCCCTCATCCCACGCCCCTGCGTGCCCCAGCCCTGCTCTCACATTCCACAGTGGTGCATATTGTGAGAAAGACTTCACTACTGAACATTAGAAAAAATTTGGAATCAGACCCCAGTTCTGTCATTTACTAGTTCCTTGGGCATGTGGCTCCATCTCACTGAACCTCCGTTTCTCAAGGAAAAAGTCAGAGTAGTACTTATCTCGCCAGCCTCTTTGAATGTGTAAACTGTGATTTGCTCTGCCTGTGCAACATTTTTAGCCTATGTTCCCCATTCCAAAATACAACTGGAAACTAAAGTAGCCCCTACAATTGCGTCTCCCTCTGTTTTATTTTCTCCCTAGCCCTTCTCATTAGCTGAAATCCCGTGTTTGTTTGCTGGTTTACCGTCTGTATTTCTTCCCTAAAGAGAGCCCCCTGAGAGCAGGAGCCTTGTCTGTCTCGCTCACTCCTGAGTCCCCAAGGCCCAGGGTAGTTCCTGACACTTAGCCGGAGCTCAATCACTGATTCTAACGAGTGAACAAATCACTGAAATTTGGCGTCAACACTGCACTTGATAGTGCTTGAAAAGAAAAACCCCGTGGTCATCTCCCAAAGCAGGGCTGAGTCTCCTGTTCCAGTGGAAATAGTACTAGCCAGGAATGTCTTAACAGATGGCTAATCAGTCCATCATAAATGCTCTAACAACACATGTCAGATCATGATTTCCTCTGTTCAAAGCCATCAAAGGACCTCTGTTGCTCCTTGCCAGACCCCTTTCATATCATTTCCTGCCGGTAACTCTCTCCCTCCAGCCCAGTTTACTCACCCTTCCCTAGGCAGGATGGTTTCCTTGCCATTCCTCAGGCATGCCAGACATGCCCCTGCCTCAGGGCCTTTGCACATGCTTGTCTCTGCCAGCATCTACATGACACACCTCCTCACTTCCTTAAAGTCTCTTCTCAAATGTCACTTTGCTTTTGAGGTCTTCTTTGACCACCCTAAATAAAATAGCATATCCTCCCCCATTTCCCTAGCCCCTCATCCTGCTTTATATTTTCCTCTTAACACTACCAATGTCTGACATACTATATACTCACTGGTTAATTTATTAATTACATCTAGACTGTGAGCTCCATGAGGCAAAGACAAGGTCTTTTTTTAAAAATATATATTTTTACTGATTTTTCACAGAGAGGAAGGAAGAGGGATAGAGAGCTAGAAACATCGACCAGCTGCCTCCTGCCATCCCCTACTGGGGATGTGCTGGCAACCAATGTACATGCCCTTGACCGGAATCGAACCTGGGACCTTTCAGTCTGCAGGCCGACGCACTATCCACTGAGCCAAAACTGTTTTGGCAACAAGGTCTTTTTGTTCTCTGCTATATTCCCAACACCTACAACAGTGCCCATTACTAAGTAAGTACTGTATTTATTGAAGTAATTAATTAATTTGATCCTATTGTTGGTAGGAGAAATGGGAAATATTCAAGGCTAGTATTCTATTTAATCAGAGAGAAAGAGAGAGAGAGAGAGAGAGAGAGAGAGAGAGAGAGAGAGAGAGAGAGAGAGAGAGAGAGAGAGAGAGAGAGAAATGCTAAAGTTATCCCCGGGACTCAAGCCTTGCTTAATTTCCTTTTCCAGGAATAATTCTTCCCCAGGGCTGATTAAAGACCTGAAAACAGTGTGGCACACACAAAACCCAGAAGATGTAGATTTTCATCTTGTCTCTGCCATTTACTATATAACCTTGGATGGGTCACTTCACCTTCCTAAATTTTAGACTGTTACTGGCAAAATTGGGAGTAACTGTAACATAACATATACTGTGGTCAGCGAGCACTGGGTTAGTGTGAGAATCCAGTGAGAACAAATGGATAATACATGTGAAGGCCCTTTGCAGTCCACAATGCACATAGCAAATGTGGGATGTGACTGCCACACTGTTAGACAAATATGGTCCAAGGGCATGAGATCACGTTTGTAAGTCAACAGCATTACATACAAGGAATATCACCCACCAAAAATACACAACCGTTTCCAGATGCTTAACAGACTCCGGAATGGTCATTGACTGTTGTCAGCAAACAGGAAAAGGAAAGAAGGAAAACTCACCAATGGTCAAAAATCAAAGAAAACTTTGACCGCATAAAGCACCAAAGGCACACAATGCTTTTTAAGGGCCTAAATTATATTTGCTATATTTGGATTTATTCCAAAATGTGGAAGCAAAGTATTAAAATTAGTACATGTTTAAGTTCTCTAAAATGTAACTCTAGGTTGACGGGCAAGGCAATCCAATCTGCATAAAGTTATATAAGATTTTTACTTGATGTGGGCATCAAATAAAACATTGCAATGTTTCAATGGCGTGTGATGGGTTCTCTAATGGTGAGAGCATCCCTGGGTCCTGGGAAGGCTGGGAAACTCCACTGATTGGTTGTGGGAGGTGGGGAAAGACAAGGAGGCCAAGGGGTGTTGGGACATCATGGAGGATGGAGAGAGTCCCAAGCGGGAGGCAGAAGCATGGTTTCCAGTTCCTTCTCTGCCAGGAACTCAAGGAAACCTGGAGCAGCTTGCTTCTGAATGTCAGGCCTTGAGGGTTTCCTTAGAAAAAAAATGCAGGGTGGGTCTTGGTAATAATACCGTGGAAATAGTCAAGGATGTCCTGTTTAGACCAAGGGGACGGAGGAAGAGAGGTGCTCAGGAGGCAAGAAGAAACTCCAGAGAGAAGGGAGGAAGGCCTCTATCCGGCCTCGGCAGGGCAGCCAGGCAAGAGAGCCAGCCAAGGGCGAAATGAGGACAATTCTCCATGGGTGTGTCAAGTCCTGAGCCAGGTGCTTGTTTACATGCATTGTCTCTGTGACCCTCACAAGGTTCCTAGGACACAACTACTGTCCTTAACCTGGGTCACAAATGGCAAAACTGAAACTAAATCCTGGGAAGGGTCTCCTGACAATTCATTTATTCATTCCTGGAACAAATGTGTATTGAGCAGCTACTCTGTATAGGGCATAGTGCCAGACATGGAGAGTATGTGTCTACGGTCCTTTGTCATTGACAAAACATTTTGAGGAGAAGAATCTTGCTTGAGTATCATCAGAGCCCTGAGAGGGCTCTTATTTTACGAAGGAGAAAATAAGGCTCTGATTAAGACTCCAG